TTCCAACTTTGAGCTCAAAAGCCACATGTTTGACATTTCTTCCTTAGATCCAAATTTTAAGAGGACCCTTAGTTTGACATACCACACAAGCCTCACACACTTAGGTGCACAACCCCTTAGGCATACTAGGATTAGAGTTTTTTTTTTGTGTGCGCATGTGATTGATGTTGTGGAGTGATTGCATTTTGGATTGTCTGCGTTGTGGACACTTGCCCTTAAGTGGTTAGTATAGAAAGATATAAATGCTTTTCTATGCAGGTGGCCATGTCCTAGAAGAGGGTAAATGTCATGATTATGCTAATGTTGTTTGCTTGCAGACACTGCTTAAAACCTCCCTAGAGGCATGGCCAATAGGGCAGAAGCAGGTGCTTAGCACTCTAAGTGCTAAGCCAATTTTGGGAATATAATGTGATGATTATATAAACTGCTGTCTAACTCTATTTTGCAGGTTTGAGTCTTTTATATTTTCAAATATATCTGATAGAAGTAGGATGTAAAACTTGTGGGGGTTCGGAGCAAAAGAAAGGATTAGAATAGGAGGGATGTACCTTTTTTTTTAGATGAAGCCCAAAGATCTTTTTGTAAAGCTTGAAGACCCCACAAGTAGAGTCTGTAATAAATTTAACTGGGTTGTATAATGGCAGACAACTCAACTGCCAAACATGTTTGTAATAACCAGGACACTATTTACACTTCTGTTTTAATTTATATACAAGCATGTGTTTATTGGGTGCGCATTAGAAAAGCATGTATTTTTCCTAGGTTTCTTCTATTGCTTTAATTGACTGTGGCCTGGACTATGTTGCGGTAGGCTCTTAGGATAAAATAAATTTTCTACCTCTTAAAATATAAGCAATCTAAAAAATGAAATTAGGCTCCATAATTGTCTAATAAAAGAAAAATTGCATGACTCCCTTTAAGGAGCCAAGTTTTCAAAAAATTAAAATAAACATGCATAGTCCAAAAATGTCTCTTGTAGAAAAACCCACGCTTAAGGACTAGATAATAAAAATCTTTCTTTTTGTGAGTCAGCATATGCATACCTTTATGCATAGGCATCTTGGCCACAAAGCCAAGTTATAAACCCTACCTTCTAAATAAAAACAGGCTTCTCACTCTACATTTGCATCAAGACCGGATGATATTGTTTTAAAAAAAGCGTTTAGGTGGGTCTAGTTGGTAGTCCCTTCTAGGCGAGACAGTAAATCCAGAGGTCGAGCAGATTATGCCTCATGTGAGATGTAATTTGTAAGTCCCTCCTGCATTTCATTAGATTTAGGTTCGAGGCACTACCTATCGGTAGTCCTCACCTTAGTTTTAGGGTCCGAGGCATTGGTTGATTCCAAATCACCTTATAAGCCCTCACCTTTCGGGCAATTCCTCCAACATGAGTTGTTGGAATGTAAGCCCCAAATTTCTAATAAAAATGTCAACTTGAACAAAATTAGATTTCTAAAATGTAAAGCCGAATATAGGATAGTTTGAGCACCTCTGAGTTTCCCTCAGAATCAAGTACTCCTACATTACCTTCCTTGGCTCTCATTCCAAATCTAATCCCAAGTTGATCAATTCCTCCTTGAAATTCCTAAAGGACCAAAACTTTTAAACAATACTTTCATGGATTTAAAAAAAAAACAAACTTTAGCCAACATTCAAAATGACTCTCAAAACAAGAAAAATCACTAGTTTAATCAAAAGTCTTCCCAAACCAAAGCTTGGGATGTAATTAATCATATGGGCTTGCCCCAATGAGACATTTGTACCCCAGAAATAAATAAACCCATTCGATCAAAATATCGAATGGGGGAATCTCTGTTCAAAATTGTAAATTTTATTATTGAGTCCATAAGAAAATTGTATTTTTGCCCTTCGGGATAATATATCATCATTCTTATGTCGTACTCGATTATAAAGTATGTAATCCGTTTGAGGATACAAAAATTCTCCAACATCAGCTTTAAGCTAAAGATAATAAATTTCTTAATCATAAAATAAATTACGACTATACACTAAACATTTAGCGCTTATGACTAACCTTAATCAAAAGCTCTCTCCCATCACCAGGATGGCTATTTAACCATAGAAGCTTGCACCTATGCGAAACCACCAACAAGATTATAAATTCAGGTTAAATTTCTATGTAATGCCTTATCTACAGTCCAACTTGGCTGTGTCATGCGAAATGTTTTGGAACCCACGTCTTTTTCACTTCTAATAATAGATAAGACATCATTTAGATTTAAAAGAGGTGACTTTCCAAGTATTTGAATGCATACCTTGTCATATGACATTTACTCCAAGTAATTGTAGTTTTCCCTACAAAGGTTTGCAGTGTTACATCATCTTAACAGCATCATATTTTGATACTCACAGTAATCAATTTTGATGCACAATTTTTTTCTTTTATTATAAGTATTCAATAACCAAAAAATGAACCATGGTTAAAAAAGTAAAATTTTGCCTTAATCTTGTAAACTAAGACATCATCAAGCTCCTTGGATGATATTTGCTTTATTTCTTCCCAAATATATTTGGTTGTAGTTAGAAACATGTAGATTCAACTATCTTCTGTTATTATTTAATTTTAATTCCAAAACATAAATTGAGATCGTCGTCACTTGACATGAGGCCAATAAGGTGCCCAATTTTGCTTTTCATAGGAGAAAGGTTTTCAAAATCTGGGAATACTAAGTTAATATCATCCATTTAATTTGAATATGATTAACGCCCTAGTACTCTCTACAATAATTTGATAAGAACATTTGGTTGGTCCATAGCTATTGATATAGAGAATAATTTTTCCTTTAACAACAACAACAACATAAATCCTTTGTCCCACAACAAGAGATCGGCTACCCAAATCATTTTTCTATCACACAATAGGCCCGACGCATTCCTCCAATTCAACATCCAACTTGAATTATACTAATAATATCCCCCATCTATTTCACCTTCACTTTGAACAATAGACAGATTAGCCCTTCAACTCCCTCTCTAGACTTATCAACAATAGGAATATCAAAAACAAAAGCATACAGTAGAGTACATCCTCCTGCAAATGCCTAGTAAGTATATTCATGACTAAAGTAAAAATATATGAGCTTAAAGCTAATCCTTGATCTAATCCAACTGGAATAGGAAAATACTTAGTCAAGCCACCTGTTTGAAAACAAATAATAGCTTCTATATGCATATCCTTAATGACTTCAATATAAGCATTATCAACTCATTTCTTTTCTAAGACTTTCCAAAGCATGACTCTTGAATTTTATCATAAGCTTTCTCTAAAATAACAATTATCATATGTAGATCCTTCTTCTCCATCAAACCTCTCAAAAAATGAATAGTTTCCATAGTAGACCTACCCAACATGAATCCATATTGATTTTGAGAAACACTATTATCATTCAGCAATCTATTCTCAATTACTCTGTTTCACAATTTTGATGCATAGCACATTGACTTAATTCTTCTATAATTCGCACTCTTGTGCATCACCTTTATTTTTAAAAATAGGAACCAACACACCTCCACTCATCTAGCATCTTCTAGTTTTCAAAATAATATTTAAAATTTTTTAAACAAAGAAATTCCTTCATCTCGTAAGCATTTCCACACCTCTATTGAAATATCATTAGGCTCAACTACTTTTTCAGGCTTATTTTCTTTAAAACCTCACTAACTATAGTTTTAATAATACAAAGATAAAAAATAAAAAACTTTACTTTCATTTAGGGTGCTAAGGTCATTAAAGTCAATTTTATTCTCACAATATTTCTTGAAAAGATTATCAAATATTTCATCCACCTATGTTAAATATCCTCTTCAAATAAAATCATCGTTTGCTCTTCATCTTTAACGCATTTCAATTGAATTAGATCATTCTCCTATTTCTTTACTTGGCAAATTCATATGCATTTCACTTGAATTAGACCATTCTCCTATTTCTTTACTTGGCAAATTTATACATACAGTTTTTCCCTCCTTATGATCTAATTTATTATATAAATCAATTTTAATCAACGAAAAAAGATGGCAAAGGTTGGTAAGGCAGACAAGAGGTAGAGGGGAAAACTGTGGGGAAAAAAAAATTCAGCACCTATTCCAAGAACTAATACCATAGAGGAGAAATGATATAAATTTTGTGTATTTTATTGGAGGTCTTATCCCTTTATTTATACAACAAGATTCTAAAATAGACTTAGTAAGTTCTACCTATGAAACTAGTAATTACAACAGAAGAAAGATATTCTACATCTTGCGCACCTTTATTTCCCAGAAAATTTAGAAGGGATTTTGTACCTTGAAGACAACAGATTGCAATAATTTATGACATGATAGGCTGCCAGCTTTGTAATCCCACAAATTACCAAGATGGCGACTATTTAGGCTAAAAACATCTATATGCAATATATGCACTATATGCACATATGAATATGTAGAAATGTTGCATATGTGTGTGTGTGTATATATAAGATCATGAGTGCCAGAAATTTGGCAACTTTAACTTTATTTATTAGGAATTCTTTATTGTCCTACACCCATCATCTAATGCTCAGTATGTAATTAATCCTTCGGTACAAATTATTCATTCATTCCACAAAAATATGGATCTATCTTTCGATGAATATATATTCAGCAAGAAGCCCAAAATCCTTGATTTGGCCAAGAAACAAAGCACTGCTTTGGGCCCAGGAAGCAAAGGGAATGAGCTCGGTCTCCTCTCCTGTAATTCAAGCTATTGCCTATCCTTTTAGTCTAATATAACACTAGCGCCTCTCCTTTCAGTAGAGGCTGTCTCCTCCACACTTCTATTCTGGATTTTTGTCTCCATGCCCGTTCCGCATGCGCTTCGCGCGCCATGCTCTGAAGTTACTATGTTACTGAAGGATTAACAAGTCGGCTAAAGGAGCTCATTTATATAAAAAAATTCAACTTAGTTAGAGTATATATTAATGCAAAAAGCCAGAAATAATGATTTCATGGAAACATTACAATGATCAAAATATGAAGGTGTTACCTGCCATAGTCCGTCCCACATGAGTTATCATTCCATTTTCATCAATAGCATCAATGAGATATAACTGCCTTAAAGCATCGGCTAAGGACTCACCTAGAGGAAAAAAAAGAGGAAGTTCATAAGGAAAAAGAGCGATATTCACCTGCTATGCTAAACTTGATTAATAAGATATTATGCATTAGGATAACCATCCAAAACTTTACATTCCAACTTTTCTGATTATAGCAAGTACGTAACAAAAAAAAATTATAGATAGTAACAAAAACAAGTTAACACTGTCGTTACCAATGTCAAATTCCTGGATGAGAAAAGTAGAGGGTTACGTTACGTAGTCGACAGCCAGCGTAAAACTTGTCGAATAATCATAACATGAATCCTTTAAAACATTGTATTAATTCTAGGGCATCCCCTGAAAGTGACGTGCTGAATGGCTTGAATATAGCGACAAGAGTGCAAGAGCCGATGCACCGGCGCCTGGGTGTAGTGTTAAATAGGCAAGAATTCTCACATCAAGGTAATGTGGGCAAAGAAGCTAGTCCATGAAACTAAATTTATGATAGGAACATGGAATATAGGCTCCCTTACAAAAAAATTAATGGAATTAATACATATTATGATTCATAGGAGTTGTACTAGAAATGATGTAGGTGTAATTATATATAAAAGTTTGAAGGAGAGTGTTATAAAAATTAACAGAACTAGAGATAAAATTATAGCTTTAAGGATTTTTGTTGATGCTAAGATTGCTAAAATTATAAGTGTTTATACTCCTCAAGTAAGTTTGGATATGGGTTCAAAATTAAAATTTTGGAATGACTTAGAATAATTAATACAAAAAATACCTCTTGAAGAAAGAGTTTTATTGAAGGAGATTTAGATGAACATGTTGGTAGAAAGATAGAAGATTTTAAAAGTATTCATGGTGGTCATGGGTTTGGAATGACAAATGAAGGTGGTAAGACCATATTAGATTTTTTTTAGTTTATGATTTCTTAATATCTAATATCTTATTTAAGAAAAGATATTAGCATCTTATCACTTATAAAAATAGATATAATAAAATGCAGATTGATTATTTTCTTATAAGAAAATTAGATCATTTAGATTGCAAAGATTGTAAAGTTATTCCGAGTGAAAATTTATATACCCAACATTCTTTATTAGTTTTGGACTTTAAGATTAAGGGCAGATAATAAAAAATAAAGTAAAACGATTTTTTAGAATTAGATGGGGGCATTTAAAGAATATTAACAAAAGTATTTTTGAGAGTGGGATTTTAGATTTTAAGATTTTGTCTGTACATGAGCATGCTAATGTTATGTGAGAAAAAGTAGCTAGTGATATTAAGAATATTGAAAAACATGTGCTTGGAGTTCCGAAGGGAAAAGCTCCAAATAGTAAAAATAGTTGGTGATTAAATCCAAATGTGCAAGGAAAAAAAATAAGAAGATTTGTTATAAAAATTAGTTTAGATATAAAAATTCTGATAATTGGAAAAGTTATAAAGAGGCTCGTAAAGAATCAAAGAAAGTTTTTTGCGATGCAAAGAGCTTAACTTTTAATGATTTATATAATAGATTAGATACTAATAAGGGAGAAAGATATATGTATAAGTTAGCCAAACAAAGAGATAGTAGTAGTAAGGATTTAGTTCAAGTATATTAAGTATACAACAACAACAATAACATCAAGCCTTTATCCCACTACATGGGGTCAGCTACATGAATCTTTTTTCTCCATTGTGTCCTATTAAAAGTCAAATTCTCGTTTAAATCTAATAAAGAAATGTCATTCCTAATATTTTCTAATCAAGTATTTTTAGGTCTACCCCTACCTTTCTTAACATAAGTCAAATCTAATACCTCTACTCTCCTAACCGGGTCATCGGAAGGCCGTCGTTTTATGTGACCAAACCATCTAAGGCGACTCTCTCTAATCTTATCTTCTACTGGAGCTACTCCAACCTTTTCACGTATATGCTCATTTCGTATCATATCTCTAAGGGTAAAGCCACTCATCCACCTGAGCATCCTCATCTCTGCCACACTTAACTTAGTATTATGCTTCTCTTTTAATGGCCAACATTCGGCACTATAAAGCATTGCAGGCCTCACTACCATCTTATATAATTTTCCCTTAAGTTTGAGGGGTACATTTCTATCACATAATAATCCCGATGCATTCGTCCACTTCAACCATCCAACTTGAATTCTGCTGATAATATCCCCATCTATTTCACCATCAACTCTGAACAATAAATCCAAGTAAAGTATATTAAGTATGAAGATAAAAAAATAATTTTCTTAGAAGATATTCAACAAAGGTGGATGAGATATTTTGCTAAACTTTTTAATGAAGAATGTGAAAATACGATTGACTTTAGTAACTTTAGCAACCTAAATTAAAATAAAGATTTTTGTTTTTATCGGCGTATTAGTAAAGCCGAAGTTAAAGAGGCTTTAAAGAAAATTAAATGTGGAAAAATTGTTGGACCTGATGATATTCCAATAAAGATGTGGAAATGCTTAGGAGATGAAGGAATTTTTTGGCTTACTAAACTTTTTAATACTGTTTTGAAAACAAAAAAGATACTAGATCAGTGGAGAATGTGTGTTAATTTCTATTTTTAAGAATAAGGTGATGCACAGGAGTGTGCGAACTATAGAGAAATTAATTTAATGTGTCATACTTTAAAACTATGGGAGCTAGTTATCGAGCGTAGGTTGTGGCATGATACTAATGTTTCTCAAAATCAATTTAGATTCATGTCGGGTAGGCCTACTATTGAAGCCATACATTTATTGAGAGGTTTGATGGAGAAATATAGAGAGAATAAGGATGATCTACATATAATATTTATTGATTTAGAGAAAGCATATGATAAAGTTTCAAGTGAAGTGCTATTGAGAGTTCTTGAAAAGAAAGGAGTTAATAATGATTATATTCAAATCATTAAAGATATGTACGCAGGAGCTATTACTTGTGTTCAAATACAAGGTGGCTTGACTAAGTATTTTCCTATTTCGGTTGGATTACATCAATGATCAGCCTTAAATCCATACCTTTTTTCTTTAGTCATGGATATTCTCACTAGACATTTGCAAGAGGATGTACCTTGGTGTATGTTTTTTGCTGATGATATTCTCCTTGTCGATAAGACTAGAGGAGCTGAAGGTAAACTTGAATAGTGGAGATCAACCTTAGAGTCTAAAGGTTTTCGCTTGAGTAAATCTAAAATTGAATATATAGAGTGTAAATTTAGTAGAAATAGACCTAGTGAGGGGATTGTGACTTTGGGCGATTAAGTCATTAATAAGAGTACACATTTTAGATATCTTGGATCTATTGTTCATAGTGATGGTAAAATATATGGGGATATTATCAGCAGAATTCAAGTTGGATGATTGAAGTGGAGGAATGCATCTGGCTTGTTGTGAAAAGTTCCCCTCAAACTTAAGGGAAAATTCTATAAGATGGTGGTGAGACCTACAATGTTTTATGGTGCCAAATGTTGGCCATTAAAAAAGAAGCATAATATTAAGTTAAATGTTGCAAAGATGAGGATGCTTAGGTGGATGAGTGGCTTTACCCTTAGAGATAGGATATGAAATAAGCATATACGTGAAAAGGTTGGAGTAGCTCCAATGGAAGATAAGATTAGAGAGAGTCGCCTTATATGGTTTGGTCACATTAAACTGAGGCCTTCCGATGACCCAATTAGGAAAGTTGAGATTTTAGATTTGACTTATGCAAAGAAAGGTAAATGTAGACCTAAAAAGACTTGGTTAAAAAATATTAGAAATGATATTTCTTTATTAGATTTAAATGAGATTTTGATTTTTAACGGGACAAAATGGCAAAAAAGGATTTATGTAGCCGACCCCACGTAGTGGGACAAAGGCTCAATGTTGTTGTTGTTGTTGTGAATAAAAACAAGTGCAATTCAATGCGAAAATATGATGTTTACATGAAGTAACATCAAAAAGTTTGGAGCTTACGTGATGGTGAATCAAGAAAATCAAACTTCAAGATATCAATATCTGGAAGATTAAGTGATTTAAGGTATAAGACACTTCCGGTCAAAGATGACCTCTGAATTTCAGGAACGGTAGCATCGAGGAACTCTTCATAATAGACGCTGGAGGGGTATAATCTATAACACTTTCCGGGACAAGTTCTTCCAGCTCGGCCAGCACGCTGATCAGCTTGGACTCTAAACCATGCAAATCATAAAGCTGCTTAATAAACAAAGCATGATGATCATCCACACTGTCAAGAAAGTGTTAAAAACAGTCATTATGTAACATAGAAACGATACACTGCTCCTCAAAATAAGAGGATGTAGTCTGGCAACTAAACACAAACCATTAATTCTCTATGTTAACCTGTATCTTTAGTCAGGTTGACGACTCAAAATTGCAGTAAGGTGGTCTTGCACTTAGCATGCCAACAACATACCATGTTGTTCAAGCGCTACGCCATTTAGTAACAAACAGAAAAACAGGCTTATAGATATATTGCCAATTATTTAATATTTGAGTTCTAATGAAAATGTCCTCAAATATTGGTACAGCTAATAGGTGACATGGGCAATCCATTATTCATGCATAAATTTTTTAATAGAAAATAAATCAATTTGAACAATGCTTGTAGCTAAATTTCATACATCTCTTACACGGTCATGAATGCAAGTGGCATTTTCTAAAAGCATGCAACATCAGCATAATAATACTTGTCAAAGGAGAATAGCACACCATGGCGCAAAGCATCCCATAGAGTAATGGCACTAAGAGCACGGCACAGTGCATGCCATTTTCAACATCGCGCAAAATATAAATTAATTATTAAAAAAAGGTATTAATATTTTAAACTGAAAGATAAACTATCATAATAATAAAAGACAATCAAAGTGATGCATAAGTTCAAGTAATCAACACCTCAATCCCTCATAATTCAAAATATTACAATCATTTTGTTTAAGCATAATGATTTGTAAGAATTTAAGCACCTTTTCTTGGAAATCATCGTCATCAGCAAAAGTATTAAAAAGCTTGATTATCTTCATCAGCATTGTCTCCTATTTCATAATCTCTTTCGTCACCCTCATCCTCCTCATTCTCAATAGCATTGGTCATGCCTACATGAAGATTCTTTTTAAGTCTTTCGATCGCTCTTAAATGTTATAGCTTTTGTTAGAAACATCAGTGGCCTTTGCAACAGTACTCCATGTCAAATCTTCCTTTCTAGCAATGTATTAATTTTTTTTCATCAGACTTATCATCCATTATTCATGAATTAATTGTTATTAACTATTATTTTGCATTCTTAACCTCAATTTGCAAGAGTGTTTCCCTACAAATAAGCGGTCTTATTTGTATTTGGGGCCTTGGTATGATTAATTAAAAAAACAATAATGAGCTGTTAAGATGGCATCAGACAAAGATGAACTGTCAAGTTGTGAGTGTAAAAATTGCTAACATCGAGCATCAATTTTAAGATTGAGTCAGACTTTGATGTTGAGAGCACATCGAGCATTGTTGTGAAACCAAAATCGCGACCGCCAAAGAGAAATAAAAATGAGAATATTTGATGAATGGGGTATTGAGTGCGGGCGATTGATTTGGTGTTGTGGATAGAAATAAGAAATTTAGTTTTTATATTTAAAATAAATAAAAAATTGAAATACAAGAAATTATATTTTTATAAAATTCATAAAATATTTAACAAACACGTATCTGACACACATATTCAATTTGTATTTAATAATTTTTTAATCGGACATATTTTCGATGTGCCTGACACTTGTCAGGGATTTGTCAAACGCGTGTCGTGTCGAATACGTATCGGATACTCCATGCCTCTTTGAGAATAAGTGTCAGTGCATCATCGATCCGATTGAGCATACCCGAGACCACATTGTAAATTTCCCATATCTGATGAGAATTTGAGCATCATCATTATTCTAGAGATTTCTAAAATATCAAGCTTGTTTGTTTATTTGTCAAAAAATAACATTTCTTTCAATAAGCCTTCTTAGAGATGGTGAGAAATATTGAGGGATAGTCGGCGCCATATCTTCATCTTCCAAACTATCATATTCTCATTTTAATCCATGAGGGATATGCCTTGGTATACCCTATGATTTGTAGAAAAAAACCTCACGTTCATTGCGACCCCTCCTTGGGAGATCATAAAAGTTTTTAAACTCTCTACATTAGTGCTTAATGAGAAAGTTAAAATTTAACGTGCTCTACTAGCATGGGTATCATTTTTATGGTATTTGAGGATGTTCGAGAGTTAGATACTCTCCTCAAAAAGATTTAGTTTTTCTTAAACTTCATCACTATGGAGCTGGGCCAAAAATCCCCTTCTTTTTTAGGCATTATTGGGAATTAGGTTGATGAAGTAACAATTCTTCCTCCTCATTCTCAATATCACTGCCAAGGTGAGGCACTAAACTGGATTGTTTTGATTCACTCTTACATTTGGCTTTTAATTTTTCCTTAACAAGTGGAAGAGTCTAGCTTTTTAGAGGGCGATCAGCCTTCAGCTTTTGTGTTTTGAAATATTTGACTCATCATAGAATTTAACTTCATGTACCGAAAATGATTGTTTATTGCCATCAATTAAATGTTCTTCACCATCTCAGCCAAATTTCATGCATTGATGAATTGAAAGCACGATAACATATTCAAGAAACCACGGTCTTCCTAGGAGCACTTTATAAGAGGTGTCAGAATCAATCATATGAAATTCTTCCTTTGTACAAAGTTCTCCAAAACTTAGGGGTAAAACAAGGGATTCCAAGGTTCTCTGCTCTTATTCATTGAACCCTTAAAGAAAAATCATTCTCTTATTCAATCATTGAACTTCAATATATATATATATATATATAAGAATAATTAAAATTAATTTTAAGTGGAAATTTATTTTTAGAATTTATAAATAAAATAATATATGAGGTCGTAATAATTTAAATTATGATATAAATAAGATTTAGAATAATAACATATTTAAGAGTTAACAATAATTTATATACAAAATGATTATATTTTATTAGTTATTTAAATGAAAAAATTATTAAATATAGATAATTTATTTTAGAATTAATTAAATTATGATCTTCTATATTTAAATAATAAAGTGGAGAGAATAAAATTCTATTAAATAATAATAATAATAAATATTAAGTAACTAATTAGAAAGACATTATTAGATATATAAGTTAAAATAATCATGTGAAATCATCTATTATTATAGATGTCATTTTATTGAAGTCAGAGCAAGGATATTAAGAACAAGCAATCCTAATAAAAGTAAGCATGTTTCTATGTTACGGTAATTAAATTATTTCTAAGCTTTCATTTAATTATTATTACAAGTTAATTACTTTACTGCATTGCAATTAATTTATCTCTCATATATTAAGTGATTTACTATATATTATTATATAAAGCATAAAATAAAGTAATATTATATAAGAATGAGATGACTAGATATGTGTGATTGCATGTGCATGTTAAAAGATGGAGCTCACCCCCTTATGATATTATCTGGACACGTTGTACCAGTGCATGTTAATGAAAAAGGTTATGGAAAAAGGATAAAGAAAAGAAGTACATTCATTAGTACTAAATTAGGCAGTGGATCCTGTGACGGTTGTATTATTATGAAAGGATAAAAATACGATATATTTGATAGATATGATGTATGCACATTTTGATATAAAAAATTTAAACAGACTTAATTTATGTTATAGAATGATTATGCTATTGTTCTCAATATCTTGGATTTCTGTAATTTTAGAAGCATGTTTTACTTACTGAGTTTTGTTTTGACTCACTCTTCCTATTGCAAATTATTTTTCAAGTATAATTAAGTATAATCGAAATGAATAGAAGAGGTGAAAACGTAAACCGTAGGCGAAACGCTCCAAATGAGAGGTATTTAAGACATTTTGTTTTAAATTTTGAGGTTTTAGCGGCTCTTTCAGTTTTGAAATAGTTTTAGAATAGTTGAAATTTAATCTACCGTCCGACCGTCAATTCTCGACTAGTTAATTCGAGTCTCCAGGCCGGGTCGTGACAGATAAGGAGTACTTTGAGCTGGTTATTGGTTAATGGGTAGTCAATGGGTCATTGAAATTCATAAATGCACTCAATTAACGAGTGGGTCTCAAAAATGGAAATGAATTAGCTCTTCCCATTGCCAATCCTCAAATTGCCTAGTTATAACCTCTTTTCTCTTATGTGTTACTTCATTGGCTTCTCTTCTTACCCATTAATTTTCTTCGTATAGTAGGCTTCACTTATAAAGGTTTACATCGGTTTACCATATCTATTTTAATAATCTTATTATCTGTTTACACCTAATTGTAATTTCAAATAAATATCTACTTTTATGTCTCCTTCATATTCTCTTATTTCATAATACAGTTGAGAAACTTCTCCTTAACAAGAAAGACTTAAACACTAGATATTGAAATCCGTTTTATACCGTAAAAATTATTGTTGCATTACATTTGTAAGGCAATTTAATCTCTATTCTTAAGAACTCAAGATAAACCACAACGAATTTGGGATTTTACACCAAGATCCAATGAAGTTTTCAGTAGTTGATATCATAATGGGAAATGAAAGCACAAATAACTATGCATGAAACAAGATTAATCATTATTAAAAGTATCAACAGTCCCTACCTGCTAATCTGGACAACATCAAGAGAATACATCCCAGTCGATGGATTATATTGACGCTGCTTCACATAACCAGTATCAATGACATATCTAGCAAAAAAATAAAGATTGTACGTTATCAGAAAAACAAAAGAGTAGAAATTAATGGTCATAGTTAGAAAATACCAAATATGGTTTCATTTAACTCAAAGAGTTTCTTCAACAAATTTTCATGTATAAAATTATTACAACTTGTTGAACAAAGCATGATGTTGCAAAAAAATTGCAAAAACATAATATTACAAATATATGCCACGTGTAACATAATTATCATCATCATTGGCCCCACCCTATGATGCATGGACACGGACATGGCGACACGGACACGACACGGACACGGGACACGGTTTTTTTTTTAAATATAGGACACGGGTACGGCGCGGGCACGGCAATACATTTTTTTATATAGTGTATATATATTAATGTAATATCATATTAAAAATGGAAAACAATAATAAATGAATGACATGATAACTTGTCTAACTTATACTATAAAATATTTAGTATAAAATATCTAATACAACCACAAAAATATAAGTAAATAATACAACACAAGCATTCAAGCTTCAACTACTAAGATTAACTTTAGAGGTTTGTTTTAAGCCTTCAATATGATCATCATTGAATATCACTGCTTTCAACTCTGATTCAACAAGAGAAAGATTTGTAATTGTACAAAAACAGAGGAGATGAAAATACCTTCACGGCCAAAGAAATGAAAATAAAAATATTCGATGAATGGGTATTAAATGCAGACGTTGATTTAGTGTTGTGGATAGGAAATAAGAAATTTAGTTTAAATCTCGCCAAACATAAGAAATTATATTTTTAAAAAAAATTATAAAATATTTAAGATACGCGTGTCGGACACGCGTGTCCAATTAGTTTTTAATTTTTTTTAATCGGACACATTTTCGGCGTGTCCGACACGTGTCGGAGGAGTGTCGGACGAGTGTCGTGTCGGACACGGTGTCGGACACTGCACGCTTCTTTGAGGAGAAGTGTCGGTGCATCATAGGCCCCACCCAAACTTTTTGTCATTGACATTATAAATTCTTCTCTATTCATCCCCATTGAGCCCTCCTCCCTCCCTCTCGACACGACACTAGTCCGACACTCCTCTGACACGTGTCGGACACGCCGAAAAAATGTACGATTAAAAAATATTAAATACAAATTGGACACGCGTGTCCGACACGCGTATCTTAAATATTTTATAAATTTTTTTAAATATAATTTATTGTATTTAGCGGGATTTAAACTAAATTTCTTATTTCCTATCCACAATATCAAATCAACGTCCGCACTTAATACCCAATCATCGAATATTCTCATTTTCATTTTTTTTTTGGCAGTGAAGGTATTTTCATCTCCTCTCTCGGCAACTGATAAACGGCATTGACATCTGATTCTCGACATCCTAATACTAATCACTTTAAGCACAAATTCTAGTTAAATGATTTATTATTTCAAATTATTTATAAAATTATACTTATTTAATTTTTATACACTATTTTTTTAATATAAAAACTATAATATTGTGTCCAACCCATGTCCGTGTCCTATATTTTCAATAACTAGCGTGTCCCGTGTTCGTGTCGTGTCATATCCGTGTCATATCCGTGTCCGTGTCTGTGCCAATTTGCTACATCAATTAATACTATGTGTAAAAGTCCATGTTTCACTCACTTCTTCCATTCTTAATTTTGGTGCATAATTTGTATAAAGAATATGAGAAGCGGTCAGTTAGTATTAGTAAATCAGCTCTTTTGATAGTCTAAAGGGCTATTTTGTTTTCTGTTACAAATTGTACTCTGATTCATGACATTAGATTATTTTATAAGAGATTCTCCTTTATTGAAAAATATGCCATTTTATCCAATAAACTGATGGGAAGAAGATCAGCAAGATGATCTATTCTCCAAATTAAAGGTAGAAATGCTCCATTCAGTGATGGTGATTATTGTTAACTGCCTCAAACATTAGATTCATGCAACAATTTAATGAGGTGCATTGCTTGGAGAGCCGCACCAAGGAACTAAAAAACAGGAAGCTGCCTTGAAAAGCGTGCAAGTGAATTGAAAGTGTATGAAAATACAATGCAATGCACTAAAATGCATACAAGTGCGCTGCACAAGTGTACAAAAAGTATGCAAATGTATTAAAAGAAGATGTTAAAATCAGAAGTTTGAGAGAAAATCATATTCCATTAATTAATTTCTTCCCTGTTTATAGATCTATACAAGATATCTAAAGAAAGAAACAAATATTTACAGATTCATGCATAATAGCCCTAATACATTCCTTCCTAAATCAGCTACTTCATTTTGGAAAGGAATCAATATGATCCTGCATGATTCCTACGAGCTTCCCACAGATTGCTCTTTGTGGTCATCGGATCTCCTTCGAGAGGGAATGGTTGGAATTTTAACACTCCTCAAGTTGGGAGCTATGGATATGTTATTCCCAGCTTGGTTATCATTCTGTGAAAGGTAGAGTTATATAATCCTTTGGTAAGGATATCTACAAGCTGATCTTTTGATGACACATGGTTGATACATACAAGACCACTGGAATAGACATTCCCAAATCTAAGAACAATTTTTCTTCAGCTTCCCTATTCTGAATTTTAGGTGGATTAGTTTGATGTGGTAGGGAAAGGTCAAGAGGGGCAAGCATGCTTTCATCATCTTCCTTTATTTCTGTCTCCCCCTGAAGATTAGGTTTGATAGAGTAGTAATTTTGTTCATCAAAAGTGACATCAATGGACACAAGTGTTTTCTTTCTAGGGGGTAATAGCACTTGTAACCTTTTTGGGTGACAGAGTATCCAATAAAGATACATTTGAGTGCCCTTGGATCTAGTTTTCCTCTATTCTGGCTGTGGATGTGAACATAGGCAACGCACCCAAAGATTCTAGGTATAAAGTAATTATGGGTTCGAATATCGGGGTAAAATGAGGACAAAATATCCATTGAAGTTTTCAGTCCCAATGTTTTTGAAGGTAGTCGGTTTATGAGGTAAGTGATAGTTAGGAGGGCTCCCTAGTAGAATTTTGGTATATTGTGGTGGAGTATGAAGGCACGAGTGGAGGCTAGGAGGTAACCATTCTTTCTTTCTGCAACCCCATTTTGTTGTGAGGTGTGAATGTAAGATGATTCATGGATGATACCTTCACTCTGAAAATAAGAGAAAAGGGTTTGGTTGAAGTAGTCTTTAGCATTATCTGAACGAAATTTCTTTATTTTTACCCTGAATTGATTTTGGATCATGGTTTGAAAATGGGAAGAATGGTGTTAACGTCAGATTTATTTTAGAGGAGATAGATCCAAGATACCAGAGTATAATCATCAAAGAAAGATATAAACCAACGAGCCCTTTAGATGTTGGGGATTTTTTAGGGTCCCCATATGTCACTATAAATGAGATATAAGGGAGTATTGCATCTCTCATTTTTGTTTGGAAAAGAGGTTCATGTATGTTTAGCTAATTCACAAGTTGTCAAGTTCCACAATGAAAATGTTCATTTTTCAGACTATGAAAAAGTTTAGGATATATATATATATATATATATATTAGGACCTTTAATGATGGATGTCCTAATTTAAAGTGATTAACCAAATAGTATATTTCTTGTCAACAAGGGATAACATAGAGTAACTATATTTAGATTTGTTCAGCTCTTCCAGATAATACAGTCCAGTTTTCTCCTTAACAAGTCCAATCTTCTTCCCTGATCCCTGATATTGAAATAAGCAATAGGTAGGGTTAAACAGTGCTTGATGATTATGATCACTGATAAGTTTTTGTATGGATATAATATTTGTGGATAATTGATGTACATGGACATTTTTTAGAGTAAGGGAAGGGGATAAAGGTATATCTCCTTGGCTTTTACTGTGGCAAGAGAACCATTAGCAGTGATGATTTTCTTGTCACTTGAGCATGGATTATAATTGATGAAGTGGGTAGTACAGTTTGTCATGTGATCTGTGGCTCCTGAGTCAATGATCCATATTCCTTTCAAATGATTTCTGGATGTCCTTAATCCAATGAATATAAAAAACTTATACCAAGAGTTATCTTACTTTGTCAATGTATTCTTTATTGAGTTCTTTGAAGTTGGTTAGTGTTTATGGTTTATGCTGACTTGTCGTGGGGTTGTCATATCATGTGGCTTTTTTCTCACTTTTTTTGTTCCACTCCTTGGGGGCTTTCTATGTATCTTCCAACATGATTCCTTTGTATGTCTTGACTTCTTGCAATAACTACATCAAAGTGTTTCTATATCTTTAGATTTTGAGGAATCTTTACCTTACTCCTTCCATGGAGATTCTCTGTTCATCACCATTGCTAAACTTTCAACGACCTTTGGTTCCAACATCACTCCTCGCGGGCTTTCTTCTGCACGGATAAGAGATATAGTTTCATTAAGTGATGGTGTCTCATCTTGGCCAAGGATCTGAACTCTAGCATGATCAAATTATGCATTCAATCCTTCAAGAAAATCATAAACTCTATCTTTTTCAATAACATTCTTTAGGATCGCAGCATCTTCCGGACATCTGGTTTATATGCATCTATAGTGATTAAGTTCTTGTCATAGATTTTGTAGAAGGGTGGCATACTCCGTCACGGTCTTGCTTCCTTGCTTTGTGCTTCCTACTTCGACTTTAATTTCAAAGATTTGAGCTGCATCCTGAGCTTTGGAGAAAGTCTGTCTAGCAGCATCCCCATATGTCCTTTGCAATGGAAAGAAACATGAATGTATCGCTAATTTTTGAAGTCATGGAATTCCACAACCATGACATAATCATTAAGTCTTCTTCATCCCATACCCAAAAATTAGGATCTCCTTCTCTTGGCCCTCCAAGAAAGTGGTGTATTTTTTCTTTCCCCTTTAACTAGGTCTTCACAAATTGATACCATTTTAGGTAGTTCTTTCCATTGAGACGATAGAAAGGTTGCATGCTTTAGAGGTCACCTCGTCCCTAGTGCACCATAGACTCCACAATTTTGTCCATGCTTTGAGATGAATTTTCTTCGGACAT